AAAAAAAATATGTAAAGAACTATTTTATAAATTTAGAATATTTTATATAGGTACAAAATGTTCGGATTATTTTTTTAAGTTTATAGCACTGAAAATACCGATGGTTTAAAGATTTATGTTTTGGCACCGATTGTTGCGCTATCTGTTTGATTATTTTACCCCCGATCAAGCGATTTATGGAAAAAGTTAGCTTCTAAAACATTACCCCAAAAAATGAAATCGTATTTTACCCAAAATCGTCCCATTACCCCAAAAAATGAAATCGTATTTTACCCAAAATCGTCCTAAAACCTTCATTTTCATGCCTACTTTCTGTCAGGAAATTTTAGTTTCCATGACAGGGGCAGAGCTGACTACGTTTCCTGCCGCTTGTCACTTTACTGGCCGCAACGTCACTTTACTGGCCGCATTTGTTACATTGCTAAATGTCTATAGTGACTCTTGTCACACTGACAGATTGACATTAATCAAAAGTTCTATATGAAAATTAAAATTTTATATTAAAATACGATTTCGTGTAAAATTTAATACAACACTCGTCAGTAAAATGACATTGCTTGATTCGGAAATTAAAGTACTCGGCCCCAAGGGGCCTCGCACTTCAATATTTCCTCGCCAGTAATGTGTCATTTTCCTGACTTTTAAGTAAATAACCTCGTAAGTAACGATTTTGTAAATAAAATCTCGTCGGCGGCGAAGTCGGCGGAAACTAACTTAGGAGCAAGACAGGAGTTGACATAGCAAGAATATCATCTTGTGCCAAGATTTGTTACAAAAAAATGAAGAAAAAAATGTCAAAGTTAAAAAATTAAATTATGTATCAACCAAAAAATTGACCGCAGCGTCAGATCCTCTCCGCCCGCACACAAAGAAATTTTACAGAACCCTACATATTGTTGGATTATTTGTAATTAATGGATAAAAATCACATGGAAACGATAATAAGTCCTTCAGATCATACCAGCACACGGAACCCATTAATATCCACTGGTCTCCACACCAAGGGAAACAATAAAATGAAACATTTAATTTTTGTTACGTTTTCTCGTTGTTTTTATGTACGTACTACATGTTTTCTATGTTCCACCCCCCCTCCCCCCCCCCCCCCCTCCCCGAGCACGAAAGCAGGAATACTATGGTATCGACATAGTTCCCCCCCCCCCCCCTCCCCGAGCACGAAAGCAGGAATACTATGGTATCGACATAGCATTTAACAAAACTACCTACTAATCCGAGCTAATCAAAAGTGATTCAGTAAAGCTTAAGTGCCTCAAAAACTTTTTTAAAGTAATTCATTATTGTTTTATAGCGAAGGAGTGTTTTATCGCTGAAACAGAAAACATTGTTTTCATGATTTGCGCTCGGATTTGCATAAAAAGTGAGTCAAATTCTTGACAGAAAAGCTTCCTAGCTCCCCTCAGACCAAAAAGCGCTCTTCGCCGTTTAACGTCTTCGCTTTTTTTTACTGTTGTTTGTGTTTATTACTAATACTTATTACCAATAATTCATTTATTATCTAACGTCAGTAAACACAAAGCTCCTTTTGACGTAAGAATAAGAATGACATTTTACAACTTATCCCTTAACATGGCACTACACCCTCATTATGTTGTCAATGACCTTAGAAATGTTTTTAGTTTTTTTAATTTGACATTTTTTTTTCTCAGTTTTTTTGTAATAACACCTGGCACAATATTTGTAAGCTGTACATACACAGAAAAATAAGATCTTTCGAATAACTTAATAAAAATTTTAGGTTGCTATTTGAAAAAAAAAGTTCGATGCCGTTGCGGCGCTCCAAATTTTTAGCGCATTTTTGGTAACAAAAAGGAGCTTATCATTTCACTTTGTCCGGCTGGCTGGCTGGCTGGCTGGCTGGGCGGATTGAAAAACTTTTGATCTAGACATCGTAGAGAGGTCCGGTTTTTTGCATTATCTCCGTCTTGTCGAGTTATTGGCGCAATGGACATTCATTAAGCCCGTAGTGGTTGCGTTTAATTAGAATTTGCGAAATAACTAACGCCGCTTGAAAACTTGTCCGTGCGTATATCGATTTTAAGCCGATCCGATTGACGTAGAGGAATGGCTTTTTTATAAAATATACTTTTGGCATTGCCTAACTACGGTCACTAATATGACTTATCTAGGATAACTACTTCAAGGTGAAAACTAATCAAAATCATAACACGGTGATGAGTTTTACAGTTTGTGGTATAATTTTGGTTAAAAATATCGTATCCAGGTCTGAGCGGTTTTTAGCGTAACACAACGAAGTTGAGGTAACGCTTATGTGCTCGTGTTTCCGTCTGTCCGTCCGCCCGTCCCGTCCGTCCGTCCGTTCCATCGAGATCTCGGCCCCTGGGACACCTAGAGACTTCGGGTTTTCGCTAATTGATAGCTGCTATGGTCTATATTTGCCCATTTCAGACAGTTTTATTGCACTCTCTATTTTGCGCAGACTGCGCATTGCCAACTTTCTTATTTATGGAGATATTTCTTTGAAATTTTAACCACAGATGCTTCTAGTAAGGCAAACATTGCGCACATACTAAAAATTATGTGTGCGCATGCGCAGTCCCTGCGCAATGCCAACTTTCCTATTTATGGAGATATTTCTTTGAAATTGGAACCACAGATGCTTCTAGTAAAGGTAAACATTTCGCAAATAGTAAAAATTATGTGTAGGCATGCGCAGTGACTGCGCAATGCCAACTTTCTTATTTATGGAGATATTTCTTTGAAATTTGAACCACTGATGCTCCTAGTAAAGGCAACAACTTGTTGATTGCAGCGTTATCGGAGATCGGGGATTTCATTGAGGCAACTGAAGACGTCTTGATTATGGGAGACTTTAATTTCCCATTAACTGTCGGAAATCGGGTAGAGAAATTTCTTCAAGAGAAATTCAATATAGTGATCATCTCTCCCCGAACAGTGACAACGAATGGCGGAACAATAATTGACGGAGTTTTTGGCAAAATGGTCAACTACACTGTTGATTGTTCGGTTTACGAGTCGTACTGTTCATACCATCGTCCAATTATTATTAGAGTTCGTGAAAATTAATAAAGAAATATATGTTTGCATAAACCTTATTTTATAATTAAAATTTTCTGATAAAATACTGATTGCTAATGCAATACTGATCCGTCACGCCAAAAATGCGCTGAAGTCTCATCGATGCACATACGAGGACTTTTGTAATTTTTTTTTCAAATATCGGTTCGGTTCGTTATTTTTCGTTTCAGTATGCCTAATATACAAATCCAAAATTTGAAGAAAATCCGTCGAGCTGTTACCTCGGAAAATTGCCAACGTATGCACGTACGAACGTACGCACATACATACAGACGGAAAAAAAAGACATTTTATGATGTCCAAAAAACGGTGATCGCAGTAGCCGCCTAGCTAACGCAGGGAAGCTAATATACCTGTGATTTACCCAATATGAAACAATTGTTCAAAAATCTATACACATCAGGGTGCTCAGAAATTCATATTACAAAGTTCTGTTTTAACAATCAAAATGGAATGGAAATTTTAAAAAAATGTGCAGTTATTTATACCTACTTTACCTATCTATTTTTAGTCGGTTCTGATTCACTACAACCGTCAAGGAAGAAATGCATACTATTTTATGAAAAACGTAAATTTGAGTGAGAGTAAATTGGACACTAAGCATGGTCAGATTGTTAAAGTAAAATACCACAAGGCGCAACCCTCCCGGGTCATTTAAGAAATTTTTTGGAACTAATTTTATTCCGCACAATGATAATCAGTAGGTACCTATGTACCTATGTACCTATCCCGTTACTCAAAATTACCATAATTGAAACCCGAAACCTTTACTCCAAAAATCCTATGAAATTACATTTGAAAAATGAGCGAAAATGCAGTAGTTGCAAAGAATGATGAAATAGATTTGTTGTCTTGCATAGTGATCTATTCACTGTTACAATACATTTTTAAATTGTTTATAAAAAAAGATAGGTAGGTACTTGCCTGCTTTACGAGAGGCGGCGGTATCGTTGATACTTTCTAAATATGTTGAAAATTCTCGATGAAAAACTCCACTAGAATTAATAATTCCAAACAAAAT